TTGATCATCATGTCATAAACATAATCAAATGTTACAGCCAACAAACCATTGTTGACTGAATGAGAATCGTTTATACCTAAATTCTAATGCATCATACGAAAACTAAAAATCAGTCTTTCTTATGCTTGGATATAGTTAGCATGTTTTTCATCAGTTCGGACTTCCATTTTCTAATATAATATAAATTGATTTGAAATCCCTGAAAAAAATAAAAGGAAGCCGCGTATATGTCGTCCAACAACGCATTTAGTCAAGCTAGCGTAGAGATACGTAACATATGGAAACCTCTTTTCAAACGAAAAACGACTAACTCCCGCCAAACGGTCATCTAAAACCAATGAAGAGGAAAGAGGAAAGAGGCTCTAGGTGAAAGGTGAAAGCACCCGTATGACCTATAAATAGTCAGATTTTGGTGGACTAAGTCCAATTATCAGTCCAAAGGGTAAGGGAGCCAGGCTCCAACCTGTCTAAATTCAAGATGACTTCCACCGAATGAGTCCAGTTATCACCCGAAGACCATTGTGGATACTAACAATCGAAACGTCGTGACGTAACTTGGTTTGGAATCTTTTAATTTTAATTTTCCATTTTTGTTAATAATTTTTAATTTTCAGCTTTTATTAATATTTCAATTTTTTATTTTCTGGTCGTAGCTTGTATGCTATTTTCTTGTAATTTTCAGTTTTCTGTTTCAATAAAATTATTATTTTCGGTTAATCTGTTATTTCTTTCAGGGATTTCAAATAAATTTATATTATATTAGACAATGGAAGTCCGAACTGATGAAATACACCACGAAACATTGTCAACCACCTTCAAATAAATAGTTAGCATGTTCCTCCGTCGCAAGTTCAAAAAATAATGTACATCAGTCCCAAATCCAACTTTTTGATATAATGAAGAAGGATTTTATTCAAAATTTTGTATAGAAACATACCATATGATGCTTTCGACGGTTGAACATACTAAGCCATCCATTAATTTATATAGCGTGTTTATTAAACATGCGGCAAAAAAATAAGGGACTATTTGTTATACTATTCTAAGGATATTTTGTCGACAATATTTCGACAATAACAATTTATTACCAAAAATTACATGTACTGCTTTTCAATCTACCAGAACTGTTGAAAATGACTACCCCCCGCTCGGATGCAAGAATCTAATCTTCTCCTCAGCGACTCCTAAACTCTTTCAAAAACACCAGTATTGTTTCTGATTGCGTTACATTCAGCAGCTTATCGGATTCTCAAATCTTCCACTGGAGTAGTATAAACTAATGACTTCAGGTGGCCTTATAGGAAATGATGTAGGGGGTTCAAGTCCGGTGATCGAGCAGGCCATAAGTGAGGTCCACCTCAACCAATCCAGAGATCTCCGTATGTTACTATTAAAAACTCTCGAGCCAATAAGCTGAAATACGCTGGTGCACCATTGTGCATTAACAACATTGCATTTCTTGTAACCAGTGGTATATCCTTCAGAAATTAAGGAGGTGTTTGTTCCAAAAATTGCTGGGTGTAACACAATCAGAAACGATCCTGGTGTTTTTGTCGATGTCGATGATGAGACGATTGGATTCTTGCATATGAGCGGGGAAAAGTCGCTTCCAACAGTTTTTGTAAACTAAGAAAGATTACATGTAATTTTCAGTAATAAATTGTTTTTGTCGAAATTATTTTTCGCTTTGTATCTTCGAAATAAAGCGCTCTATCAAAAATCATCACAGGACAAAATATCCTTAGAATAGTCCGAGGAATAGAGCCTTGAATTTTGCCGCATGTTTTATCAACACCTTGTATATCATTCTCAAACAAGAATTTTGAACCTTTTGTACTCTTCTTATATGAGAAATCAATACATGGTCCGTCGACTACGTCACAATGATTGAAGTGCGAGAGAACCAAACTATAATACAATTGGATTTTCAATTTGTAGTTCAAAAAAAGTCTGACTAAATGAGTTGAAATGGCATATAACGATATTGTTTCTATATTACGAACATATCACGGAGAAACGCAAAAAATATTTATCCTTAAATACATGGAAGCACATTTACACACTCCTGGTTTCCAGAACCTATAAAATTCCTTATAAAACTCATTCGTTTAGCAGAAAAGGAAAATGATCTGATGGGGACATTAAAACCGGTAGGGTATTCTCGAAGGGGTCCTTAAAATCCGAGATTGCCACTATCGGAGAAATTTCGGAAGTGCTATTGAATGAAAGTTTACTCGAGTTTTGAGAACTGTGTTAATCGAATGAGGAGAATCGAACTGAAAACTTGGCTTTTTGAATTATTACAGTTTCTTCACTGGTTTCCAAAGCTGAAAAACAGTAATGATTTTTAGGTAGGCGTAGCTTTTGGTACTTTATGTAATTCTGGAAGTTATACGGAAATATCGAGGAATACAAAGAAAAGTTTTCCTAAGAATGTCATGTAGAAGTAGTACGTTGACTGTTGAAAAAATAAGGTGAATGTTCAGATTTCGCAAGCTACCTACATTCGATTAGCAATTTCGGAAGTGTCCAATCTCCATATACTTACAATTAGTTTTTTAATCCTTTTCTACCAGTCTTCTTCAGTAATATTAAATACTTCTTCTTTAATTTGAGAAGGTAATTCTATAACCTTCTTATCACGTTTTGGAAAATCATTTTTACGCCTGATAATTTCCCCAAATCAACTCGAATGGATTGAAAACACAAAAATAGGGGGGGAAGTCTCAGTATGGTGTGTCTATACTTTCCAGCAATACTCTCAAGGGCATACACTTTTTCAAATGTTTTTGTGTGTAAAACTTCAAGGAGTTGGTTTTTTATATAGTAATCTTCAAAATACATATTGATATCCATTAAAAAAACTCTGTTTTTCAGCTTTCCTCGAATTTTCATTAGGTACTTTGATGAGCATTCGCGAATGAGGAAACGTTGTCAAGAATTTTTCATTATTCGCATCCAAATTTGGGATCAATGTGTTTTCAATCCATTCCTCGAAAATATTAGTTTCCATGTTCTTATGATAGTCAACATTACAGTCCTCCAGTTTTTTCCACATAATTTCAAAGCATTCGGAACCCATCCTTTACTTCCTCCGCAATGCACAATGATTAGTCGCGATCCTTTGTTTGCAGGCATGTTAGGCGTACACATTCTCGAACGATCAGTCCACCCTTTCGTAACTATGTCGTGAGCGTCAAACCAAGTTTCGTCCAAACAGAAAATTTGCCGTTGTTCATGTCTATATTTAGTTATTTCTTCTAAGACTTTGTTACGCAATTCCACTATTCTTCTACTTTTCGTAACTGCTTGACGTTTGTTTATTATTTTAAATTCAAATCCTAGTTTTTTCATTCAATTCTGAAGAGTTTTATCACAGCAGCTCCTGTTATGGCCGGAAGTATTCAATTTTTTCTTTTAGATTTCAGTTGTAGGAATCTCATTGCTTTTGTAACAGTCGTATATTGTTTTTTTCAATGATTTTATTAGGTGAACATCTAAAGGTTTTGGTAATCCCGTATAACATCGCGTCTTGCTTTCATAAAAAGTGTTTTTGACTATTTTACGTACAGTTGAGGAAGGAATTTCGGTCAAATCTGATGTTGCTAGTAATAGTTAGTTTCCTTCAAAACCAAACTTGAGATGTAGATTCTTATATACGTTGAAACATACTCTTTGTGTTTCAATATTCAAATGCATCCGAATCTTATTCACTGGTACCTCTTTTTCTCATTGTTCACCGTCGCTATTGGAATCACTACACAGGAAAAAGTCTGCGTTGTTATTACACTCGTTATTACTATCAGTACTTGTCCAAAGACGCCACATTTTAAACAGATAACAAAAATTTCAAGTAATTATAACTGCGCCAATATCGAATTTCAACACTCAAATCGCGATCAGTTCCTGAACTGAACATTAACAATACGACTCTTATAACTATCCTCGCATTCTATTTGTCACCGTAACACGACTTCGAATTTAATTTTATAACTCTTCAGCTAATCATAAAACTCTGTTAGTAAAAATCATCCAATTCGAACCGCCAATTCTTCAGTCCCTGTGGACTAGTTAGCAGCGGCTTTATTTCTCTGTATTGGTTTTTTGGGCATTTGAGAGCGTTGACACTTTAAGTATGCGTCATATCGGTTACTTCGACTATACAAGCTTTGCACAGAATGTCGAGAAGATGTGAATAACGATGCTCGCCCTGAAGGCCCCAACACATCAACAACCGATGCCGATGAAAATATTGAAAGAGTGGAGAATCGTCGAGATGAGTTGGCTGGCAAAAAAGATATATCTACTGAAATAGATTAGCACTGACTCAAAGTTTATAAATGCCAATGAAAATGAAAATTAAAATGAAAATGGAAATGAATGTGGATATGGATCTAGATCTGGATCTGGATCTGGATCTGGATCTGGATCTGGATCTGGATCTGGATCTGGATCTGGATCTGGATCTGGATCTGGATCTGGATCTGGATGTGGATGTGGATGTGAATGTGAATGTGGAAGTGGATGTGGATGTGGCAGTGGAAGTGAAAATGGAAAAGGAAAATGAAAATGAATGAGAAATAAAATTTCATTTTTTGAACAGACAGCGTATGTGACAATTCGAAAGAATATCAACTGCGATGTGAAACGTGTGTGCCTGATATGACAAAAAAAAGTTTTGTATGTTGTATATTGATACTGAAATGAGCTTCTGATATGACCTGCTAACCACACCATATTGTTTTTGTTTATATTTGACATGACGCGGTTTGTAATGTAAGATTATTGCATAAATTCATAGCGGCTCTTCCATATTTCAGTATCGATGAAAGTTGAATAGCCCCGACAAAAATGATAGAATTATTTGTTTTCTCATACGGTTATAAAAAAGTTCATGATTTTCGTTCAGAAATGATTTCACAACCAATCAGTCATTTGAATAAAACACACTATTATAAGCTGGCGTAGTATTAAAATAAAAGCTGACAATGACCACGTACCTTTTTTTTACTGGCGATATTTTCTTTCTGAAAAGAAGGAGAGAATTTGAGATCATTACTGGATAATATGAATAATTAGTAATTGGGTTAAAAATCGAACACCAATTGCAATTCAGAAAGGATTGACATATTAATTAGAATAAATTTCAAGCTTAAAGTTCAAGCAAACTAAAAGTGTACATCAACTGATGTTGATTATTATGTAAATTCCATGTACAATATAATAACAATTTATTTGTTCTTAGTTGATTAGTGACAAAATGATTGTCTTCCGATCATTTCTTCAGGAACTACTCAGTTGTGAATGGAATACTCATCGAATGATAGTAGTGGGATTGGCTAAGTTTTATACCGCTGCTTTAAAATGATCGTTCTATTTTATAGCTAGGCTTCATTGAATTGAAATTGAGAAATTTAAAAACGAAACTCATATATCACTAGACAAGCACTAAATATAACCTTACCAATTCCAACATCGTCACAAATAAAAAAAATTCCATATTTTATAATGATAAAAATTATTCGACCACCAACCAAATGAGATTAAAAGTTTAAATAGAAAAAAACAATTCAAACGTACCGTAAAAAACTTTTAATATGTGAAATTCGATTTCGTCTTCTAATCCTAGTTTACAGGGTGTCCCTGGACTTCCTCTTTTCCTCTCGGGAATGTATAGATGGGGTCAAAATATCACCAGTACTTCATATAACTTTTTTTCCTAAAATTCTTCGTAACCAAGTTACGGGCCCTCGAAGTTACAAAATGAAAAATGTTTTTCTTTGATAACTTTTCAAGTGAATATTCAAAATCATCCAAATTTTGGTAATTGACTAAACAAATGAATTCCTTCGATGAGCTTTCAT